CCCCCCCCCCCCCAACCCGTCCTTGGAAAGCGTCAAATCTGAACTGGCAGTGGTATGTCCGATTTGCCCCCGGCGTCGCCGTGGATTCCGCCCCAAGGTACATTCCGCCGTCCCCCGCCCCGTCTCTCGCTGCCAAGTCGCCAACCTTGCCCTCGCCGCCCTCACCTCCCGGCCCATTGGTCCCCCAGAACTGCAGGGATGACCACTTCGGCAGTGGCGCAACGGGGTTCTTTTGCGTCGTAGCAGCACGAGCCGCAAGGGGGCCGCCGGAGATGGCGCTTGGTAAGGGAAGGTCGGCGGTCCTCTCACGTCCACTACCGCCGCCGCCGTCGTCGGAGCTGCCCTCTTTGCTACTGCTGCTGCTGCCGCTGCTGCCGCTGGTTCTCCTCGCAAAAGGCGTTATCGCTGGGGGGTCTTGCACCGATTCTGTCGAGACCATTGTCGTCGTTGTTGCTGTCACCGCCGCCATCGTGGTGTTTTTCTGCCAGTTCCGCCGGTAGGCTGCAGACACAGCAGCAGCGGCACAACCGCCGCCCTCCCCTGCCACATACACACGACACAGCGCCGTAGCGGATCATGAGGGGCTAAACCAAGACAAAAGACACTACAGCAGGCGTGGTGGCATTGGCTACAATTAAGTTTGTGAAGAATGGTGTCGAGGTCCGAACCAATCATATTTTTTTGAGCAGGAGCATCAACGTCAGCGATGCGATGGAGGAAGCGTGATTCTAACACAACATTCACACCGACGGTAGGTATTATAGACGGGATGCGTTGCAAACCGCAGAGGCCCCTTTGCAAAAAAAAAAAAAAAAACGGTGGAGTTCTCGTGGATAGTTACGTGTCAGATGGCCTGTCGGAGATGTACCTTCGGGGTGTTGCCATGGATAGAGTAGGTAAGAGCCAGCCGGACGAGCTGAACTCGCGTACAACCCGGAGACAAACGTCAACCCGGAGACAAACGTCTCATATATCCATGTCTAAATAAAATAATGCAGAACTGCTTCATGTGTTCGTGTGTTACAGCAGCCGGTAAGGGAAGGACCTGCTGAGTCCTTGTTGTCGGCATCAACTACGAAGGCATGCACCGCGGAGGAGTTTGCTCCGATTCACGAGGTCCTTGGATCGGGGCTCACGAGTGCAAGAGGAAAAAAAACAAGCCAAGTTTCCAGCCAGTTTCCCTCCACTCACTGAAAAGACTTGAGCACACCCCCTTTCGACTGCTGTGGTTATATCTCGAACGGGTAGTATTTCTGTGAGCATACGGTATGTAACCTTTCTACTTCTAAAGAAAGACCCCCTGCACCGTGGATGTTACGCGGGGCGTACAAGTATGCATAAAACTGCGGGGCAACCGCTTGACAAAAAAATGGGATGACACGACAAGCTTGGACACAACGAAGTAAAAATAAAAAAAGACGGCAGTAATCTAATTGTATGGTGAGACGTTGCTTGCGCAGGTGCCATGCGCATTTATGCGTCGGGGTGGATGTTGTACGATATACACCACAAGGACAACGCCAGAGTCTCGAGGTTAGCGGGTCGGGTGAACGCCTTCTTGTAGCCGTTTGGAGTGAATAAAGTCCGATGACAGATGGGTTTGAACATGCAAGACCATTTGTGTGTGAGAATCAACTGAAGGACCGGACTATGCCGTGTTCGGGGAATAGACGCGCGACGTCGTTGCACCTGTGTCAACGCCTCATGCGCAGTCAGATGAGGCATTTACACCGCCGCAACAAGGACAACGCCCGAGTACAGAGGAGTACCCTTGAGTGTAGAACTGATCCCCTGTCAGCTGGACCTACTGCTGTACAGCAGTAGTACGGCTGTGCGTGTACATGAAACACGCTCTTGCCGCACGGTTTTCGACGGACCTCTTCCGCCAAGCCCACCACGCCTCTCTTGCTGGCATGTAAGGATCCAGCTTGGGTGTTGTCTATAAACATCACGCGGTCAACATGCATTGCTTGGTTGGGTCTCTGAAATACAACGTCAACTTCGTTCATCACCCATCTCCAAAATTTGTCCGCTACCTTCCCTTCTTTATTTTGTCACACTCAACGGTCCCCGCACCCTTATCGAGCGGATGGGGACAAGAGAAACAGGGGTAGAAAATCGATTAAGCACGAGACTCACCAAAGGCTTCGGGAGGATTCTCCAAGAGATGTGCGTGCGTGTGTCTTGATGGACAGACCAGAGCTGGACCTGTGGGCACATGCAAGACGCGAGCGCGAGATGTCACCTGCCCCACACATGGGACAGGAGGGGGGGGACGTGGGGGGTGACGTGACTGCAATCTTTCTAATTCCGCCGCACAGATGTCTGCCAGTGCCCGCCGTGCCCACCGTGATCGTGCTTCTCCGTCCGTGGCATCGCCGTGTTCCTCCAAGCCAACGTACCCTAGTAGATGAACGGAGCCGTCGCAAGAAGAGCAGCGAGATGATTCAGTCACTGTTCATCATGAGCAAAACGGGGGAGGTGATGATCGAGAAGCACTGGAGAGGCATCACGCCAAGGAACGTGTGCGACTTCTTCTGGGACGAGGTCAATCGCCACGACGTGCCAGAGGCTGTGCCTCCCATACTGCAGGCACGATGTGACATTGAAAACCACAGCAGCTTGGTTTCTGAGTTTGGCAAGACGGTAGTGCGGCGTATGTTCACGCGCAAGGTGTCTAGCTCTCGTGTATTAGTCAGTTTACGCACGTGTCTCTCGTCACTGTTCAAAGTGTAGCCGAGTGCAGCAGCACCCAACACCAGTGCAGTACCGGAGTATACTACATACCGTAGCTCCACACTTACTGCTGTACATCGCAGGACGCGCTGGCGTGAAGAACGCGCAGCGTGCCTACAGGCTTTTCCAAGCACTCCGCTCCAAGCGTTTGCAGTTGATTTGCGTATGCACATGATGACCATCTTGGGCATGCGGTGGAATATGTAGGTCAAAACGTTCTTGGTTCTTGGACGCTTGCTCTTCCTCCATACTTGTAATCGAACACCTCCTTCCAGTCGATGGATGCGCGTGAAAACGTTTCGCTCGATCGGCTGCTACTTGTATACCCTGATTTGGAAGGACGCTCGTACGAATCTGCCGTATGCGTGTGTTGTGCTAGAGCCAACATGCATCAGGGTCCCGCACATTGTTGATATTTCTACCCTCTCTGCTTATAATTTACCGCCGCTACTGCTGCCGCCAGCGTCCAAGCAGAGACTGCTTGTTGAGCACACTCGCGTCCAGACCCTCGTCTCTGATGTGATTGTTGCCCGATGAACAATGGGCATGCTTTAGACCTTCGGAGAATGCCTGGTGGCTCGTCGTGTGTCTCCAACGACGACTGCGGCTGCTCCATTCCAAACTCAACGGCGCCTCCCTCGTACTGCTGCACACGATATTTCCTCTCTTATCGGCAGACGTCGAAGCACAACCTTATCCACGTGTATCGAGACGACGTGTTCCTGCTGGCGACGTGCACCGAAGACGTCAGCACGCTTGGGGTGGGTGCAGAGTACGGCAGCCGATGAACGGTGGATGGACGAACGACCCATGATGAAATAATGTGACCGGAGTAGATTCCCCAGAGTAGTTTGTTCGATTCGTTGTGTTCATTGGGGGGGGGTTGTACTCATCATGTAAGCGCATGCCGTAGTCTTTAGCCGTTCACCTGGTGTGCGTGTGGGGGGCCATGCGAGGTGGAAGGGCCTACGACAACAACAGTGGTCGCCCCTCTTCTTGCAGGTCGAGCTCTCTTTCGCTGGTCTTATTTTTTTGTGAACCGACGTTTTAGCCACCCTGCTTCCTCTTGGTGACCATCACCAGCCCCTGTTCGCTTGTCGGATTCCTTCCGATGCCACCAACCTCCTGCCGTTGCTGCTGCTGCTGCTACCGCTGCGGCTCGTCCTTTTTTCTGGTTCAGGTTATCGAGTTCCTGCACCGCGTGCTGGACATCATGGGCGACTACTTCGGGGGCAACGTTGACGAGAGCGCGATCAAGGAGTCCTTCAGCCTGGTGTACCAGCTGCTGGAAGAGATGATGGACAACGGACACCCCCTGACCACGGAGCCCAACGCCCTGAAGGCGATGATACGGCCGCCCACGACCTTCGTTCGCATGGTCACGGCGGCAACTGGCAAGGTGATGCTTCGAAAGACATACGCAGAAACATGTCCTCTCTTTCGTGGCTCTTGTCTAGCGTGCTCCTACCCTTTGCCTTTACGCCTACCGTACTCCGCGTGCCTCTCGTCTTGTGTGTTGTGCCGCGACTTCTGTCAACCTGTGTCTGATCTCTTTGGGTATCCTCTGCGTGCCTCTCACCGTTCACCCTCTATCGTCGTTCTGCTCCAATTCCTATTTTTGACTCCTCTTTCTCGTTCTCAGACTTCCACCGGTGTATTATGCACCTACCTCTTGTTTCCTCTCTTCTTTGCAACAAGAAACTCCGCTCAGATCGTATCTTGTCCTACTTTTTTATATGCACCAATGATTTCAACACTTCTACATCTATCCTGGACGTCCTCCTTCTTATTGTTACTTCGGTCGTCTGTCGTTGCTCGTGTCTACCCCTCCCCTCCCCCCTTTTGTCCGGCAGAGTAACGTGTCGGACGTGCTGCCCGATGGCACTGTGTCGGCCATGCCTTGGAGAAAGGCGGGCGTCAAGTACTCTCAGAACGAAGTCTACCTGGACATCATCGAGGAGCTGGATGCCATCCTCAACGTCAATGGTCAGGTGCGTTGGTCGTGTATTGAACGAAGGCGGAGGCGCTGATGAAGGTGTCGGTGTTGATGCTGGCGTGGCGTTGGGACTCGCATGTCGAACTTATTGCTGGTGGTGGCAGTGCTGTTGCCGCGGTTTCCCGAATCCGCAGCGAACGAGCATCCTGCTAGTGCGTCTGCCAAGAATTCCGCAGGCCGGCGTCGGCATTCATTGGCACCCAAAGATCAAGCTTGTCTGATACTACATCCTTTTGCGCTAGTTGTAGTGCCCAATGCTCGGCGAGCGCTTGTCTTACCACCGCTGCCACTCCCTCTTTCGCGTTCCTATTTTTGGGACGGCCACGGCAGATCGTATCCTCTGAGGTGTCGGGCACCATCCAGGCAAACTCTAGGCTCAGCGGAATTCCCGACATGCTTTTGGTCTTCCAGGATCCTTCGGTGAGAATGGAAGAGGATGCTGAAGAGAGGAGGGCGAACGGAATCGCGATCGCACCCTCCGCGGATACACACAAAACGAACATCAAATTAGTCCGTGATGCCCTCACTCCAAACATCTGAAGGAACCAAGAGCGTTTCCTTTGAGATTCCCGGTTGTCGTCACTGATCCTCGTCTTGTCCGTTTTTTGCTAATAGTAGCGGCTTTCCTGAATTCAACTTTACGTCTACCTTGCTGATCACTTATTTTTTGTTCGATTTAGTGCGCTCTGAATCGTTTCGACTTTGATGCGACATATCGATCGCCGAATACTCGGCTTCTGGTTGCTTGCCCGCTGCTGGCTTGCAGGTGATCGACGACTGCTCGTTCCACCCCTGCGTGCGGTACGGCCGCTTCGAGAAGGACCGCGTGGTCAGCTTCGTGCCGCCGGACGGGCACTTCGAGCTCATGCGCTACCGCGTCAGAGATCACCTCCAGATGAACGTGACTCCACCCGTGTATTGTAACCCCACGGTAAGCAGGAGGAAAGGACGGGAGAGAGGGACGCTTTTTTTCGCATGTCCTTTGACGGGGGGGCGCGGCGAGAAGCAAGAGGGTTGATGGGGAGGGGCGAGGATGGAGAGAGGTTTAGATATCAGCCTCAAGTTCTTGATTGACAGGGTACCATTCCTGTTTTTACTGTTTGAGTTTGGACCTCAGCAGCGTCTTGGGCGTCTCCCGTGCGCCGCTTGCATGGTCCTGCCAGATATCGTACGAAGATGACTACGGGTCGAGTCAGGGTCACATCCACATCGCCGTCGGGCACCGGCACGGGTCCTCGCTCAAGTTTCCTCCAAGAAAAGGCTCGATGGTCGTCGAAGATGTGAGAGGGGGAGAACTAGGACTCGGAAGGGGAGGAGACGAGAGTCTTTTGTGTTGTACGGTGTATCCTCCGGGAAAAGGAGAGCAGAGGTTGTCGCGTGCAAAGGATAGTGAGACGCTTTGTTTTTCGGAAAACGTTGACAGCAAGGCAGTTGCGACACGGATGTGCTAACGGCGTTTTGTGTCTTCCGAGCACGCGCACACGCTAGTGCCCGTGTTCGTGTGTGTTCCCTGACAAGCTCTTCTTTGAGGCCCCTTGTCTATGTGATGCAGCACGGTTACAACAGCAGTGCACCGACCCTCGGTAGCCCTTCCGTTGATCCTTCTGCCCATCCTCCTGACGCCGCCAAACGTCTGTTGGACAGGTGACAGTGACGGTGCAGTTCCCGAAGGTGGTTCGAACGGCAGACTTGCACGTCTCCTCGGGCACGTGTCTGTTCGACGAGGCATTAAAGGTAAAAAGGGGGACGGGCCCCATCGCTCCACCCTTGGGGCCCTACGTGTGGCTGTAACCAATGTGCTTCTTTCCCCGGTGGTGGACCCGGTCGCTTGAACCGATGCAGCAGACTTCGTTGACGTACAAGTAGTCCCGATATGTCTTCGTCGCTGTGTTGTGCGCCTACGGCGTGCGTACTAGAGTTCGAACAGCAAACGTCGCGAAGAGATGGACCGGCGTCACGTGCCTTAGCGTCAGTAAGCAAGTCCATGTTGCCCAAGCTACACGTGGTCACGTTGAATTCACACGAGACATGCGGCGGCGTTTTTCGGGCGGGCGTGCATGCCTTTTTTCCTTGTTTGCCGCCAAGCAGGTGGCGAAGTGGAACCTGGGCAAGCTGTTCAAGGACAAGTCGGCGACGATGACGGGGACTTTGAGTATCCAGGGGCCCAAGCCGGAGGAGAGCCCACCGGTGCAGCTCTCTTGGAAGGTATTGTAATGCTACGTAAACAGTAGAGATTACCGCAAACGAATAGCGTTGGTTGCTCAGCGTTTGCAACCCATCACAACCGACCCGGCAGGCTCGTTCCGCGCCGTTCCGTGTTTAGCCTTGTGCTGCAATGTGGTGGGGGAGCGGTTGGGGCAGGGGGCACGACATCAACGGTGCCCCGCCCTTGTCGAACGGTAGTCTCCTCCCCCTCCCCCCCCTCCCTGTTCCTGATTTTTTCCGTGGTGCATTTTGGTCTTTCACGAGCCCATCTCCCACCCCACTCACATCATATTCCCTCGTTCCACTTGTCGATGTTCACTCACGGCTTTGCGTGCTCTGTGCCGGTTTGTCAGGTGCCGATGGCGTCGGTTTCGGGGTTAGCTATCACGTCGCTCCAGGTCTTCAACGAGAAGTACAGGCCGTACAAGGGGGTGCGAACCTTGACGAAGTCGGGGAAGAACTTCCAAGTGCGAACAGGCTGAACAATTAACGCGGGTTGCACCACACCAGATGCTACTGCTGTGTACATACAGGGTGTTGTATGCGTTGGTCAGTCTGCCCGCCAACGCGGACACAGGCAGGAGTCATCGGACACAGCGAAGCACGGAGGTTGTTCTGTGAGTCTGGAAGGGAGCGCTGAGCGAAATCCGTACCTCACCTTAAGAGTTGGGTTGCAGGGGGCACTCGGTAGACGGTACGCCGCACGACGGGGGCTGGCTTGAGGGAGGCAGGGGCGAATCGCGAGGCGTATAACACGCCCAAACAGGCGATCAAATACGCGCACTCGACTACCAGATTGGGCGCCAGGCACAGGGGGTCATCATGGCCTTAGATGTATACCTAGTGTTTGTGCTTGGGGGGTGGCCGCGTGAGTCTAAAATGTTGTTCCACTCAGAAAAATCCACGTCTTCTCAGCGCTACTGCGACCAACATGGGCGCTTTCTTGCGTCTACGATGGCGGGTGTTGTGTAGTAAATCAACCTGCCGGACTGCTGTAGATGGTTTCCTTTAGTTGTGGTATGCCCTCCCATCGCCGGCTGTGTTTCCGCACAGCTCTCACCTTGGACGCCGCTGCTTTACCGATGTCGTGTCGTCCCTACCACCAACCAGAAAAACGCCTCTCTAACTAGCTAGGTGACCCAGCTTCCGAAACGGAGTCGAAAACCGCACCCCACCTCTCCTAATACCGAGACAACAACTCGCCTAGGCGCGCTAGGATACCAAGTTATTCACTGCTGACCACCTTGAAAAAAGGGAACAAGTTGTGAACGGCACTGGTCAAGTTGAAAAAAAAAGTGTCCGATGTACAACTACCGGCGCGCCTGCGAGAGGTGGGGGTGTGCTGCGGGGGGCTGTTCGCAGTAACGCCAGATGCTCTATAATCCACCCACCCAAAAACTTTAAATTTTATCCTATGATTCAAACCAAACAAACCTATACTTCACAAAAAAAAGCACCAGTGTTGTGTGGTGGTCGATGGGCCAAACAGGAGAGACGACTACAACGACTTTTGCGATGTCTTGCATTGCCACAACGGCAAAAACGCCGGCCGCAAGAAAAGGGCGCTCTCAAACGCCACAAAAAAAAAAAAAAATGGACTCGTCAAAAAAGCCACCAAGATATAACGCGCGATCGATCACTCCAAGAGTCCGATCCCCTCCCCCCTCGCCACGAGCCGCATCGCGAAGCGAGTCGACGGCCGTTCCTGCCCCCGCTCCACCGAGGTCATTCGGCCCGTCATCTTGAGGAACCGCTTCGAGAACCTGGCCTCGATCCTAGCCCCCCGGTCCACGTACCCCGTGTAGGACAGCGTCGTGGCCCCCCCCGCCCCCGCCTTGGACGACGCCTTCACCTACGACAAACCCATACAGAGCGCGCGGCGAAACAGGGGTCGGGGACGCGCGGGTAAGTGTGCGCACAGAAACCAGTAGAGCACTAGATCTTCCACGGGTGAGTCCGCTTCCGGTTGTAGGTGGACACAGACAGACACGTGTTGGACGGTTTTACCGCTACAATCGGGACGCTGCGGGTCGTGCTTGGCGTTTGACACACGAGAAACACGTTGTAGTGTATTTACTTGTGTGAAATTGTTCGACAGTAGCAAACATGGTGGCACTTTGACCGCTTCTACAGGACATGTTGTTGGTCAAAGGGCAGTCGTGGGAAGAATCCATGGGTTGTTCTTGCTGTCAAATTGGCGGAATGTTTCCACACTTGATCGGTCCGTGGTGGAACCTCGCATGCAAGCTCGGTCGGTCATTCCGGCCAGTCGGTCTGCAGTTGGTTTTCTGTTCACTTTCGAGCTTGGTCGAGAGGACTGCAATCTTGACCGATTTCCGCTCATCAAGTCACCCCCGGCGCCTAAACCCTTGCGTTCGCCTCGCACCAACACGCTTGCCCCCACACCCCTGCCGAAAGTCACACCCCCGGTTCGTCGTGGCCGCAACGCGCAGCTACCTCAGAAGCAACAAGGTGGCGGCCGAACTCTCTGCCCCAAGTGTGTACCCGTACCCCCCTCCCCCCCCCTCTCCCCGTCCATCCACGACTATAGAAACGCCTCGCCCTATGCGAATACCAGTATCAGTAGTCACCTTCGGTGCCGCCGGGATCATCTCGAAGTAGATCGTGTCGAGGTGCGTCGGGCCGGGCTCCACCCGCCACTGCAGCCCCACCCCCTTTTCCACCGGGATCTGGACCGTGCCGTCCTTGCGGAACGACACCACCAGGTCGCTGAGGCCCAGGTCTACCATCCCGTCGGTGGTGCCGCCGCCCGCCGCCGAACTGTCGACCGGGAGGTCGGTGAGCCCGTCCCACCCGGACGTGTTCAACGCCCACGACCCCACAAGGTCCGAAGGTCTCGACTGGTCAGGAGCGGGAGAGGAAAGAAAGGAAACCGGGGCAGCGGGGGTGAGGGCTGAGAGGTTGCGGGGCCGGCCGGGTTGGCAAGTAGTACAACAATGGCGTGATGAGGGATGGGCGTCGATATAGGTGCTGGGGTGGTGTGGTTGTGGCGGTGGCCCCGGCTTTCCTCGCCGTTTGATTTAAACGGAAAAAAACGATTCCAATGTGTGGCGTCAACATCCCTCCTACCTAACAAGCCTTCTCACGCACGGACCAGCGGAACCAAGTCAAGCCTTCCCGTTTCCGAGGGGAAGAGAGTGCGACGTCACAGCAGAAGAGAAACGGGCCGGTAACCCACGACAGCGAAGCTAATCTCATCGCGCGCTCTCGAGAACAAAAAAAAAGTCAACGTTTGCACGAGCGAGAAAAAAGCCCCGCAACACCACCACGCACACACACCTTCCACGCCGGCTCCGTGAGCTCCTTCCGGATCTCCCTCTCCCACGCCAAGAAGCTCTTGAGCACCATCTCGCTGGCCGGGGTGCTCCGGGTGCCCACCTCCTGCACCAGGATGCCCATGAGCCTCTGGTACGAGTTGAGGTACGCGCCGCTCAGCGCCGGGACCCCCTCGTCGGTGAGCCCGTTCTTCACCAGGTTGACGAGGGCGTGGTAGAACATGTCCTCCTGGGTGCCCTGCCAGGAGCCCTTCCCGAAGCACTTGGTCATGAACTTGTTGTGCTTGGATTCCATCTCCCGGGCAAGCGCCTGGCGTGGCGGAGCGGAGCGTTGTCGATATCGCAACAGGATTTGTGGTCGTGGTTATTGTTGTCGCTGTTGTTGTTGGCGATGCCGTCATGATGCTTGTACAGAGGCTTCACGGTGCAAGAGACTCGACCGACGCTTCGATCATCTTTGCGTCCACGAAACAAAACTCTCACTTTTTTTTTCACCCTCTCTTGAAGCTAGGTCGTCCAAGGTATACATACAACCTCGCCCATTGTTGCATCAAGAGAGGAAAACTACCTCCGCTTGTAGAACTGGACAAAATCACCGCTTTCAAGGGACTCAAAACACATGTAGGTAAGCTCATACCCTCTTGCTCGACCCACCTGCAGATCTTCGTCTGAGCCCACGCACACCGTGCGCACCACGCGGTTGACCAGCGTGTTGAGCGCCCTCGTCGGCGTGGTCCCCTCCTGCTCCCGCGCGGGGACGGCGTAGTCGAGGATCGACAGACAGATGTCTTTGTCCACGGGTCTTATCCTCCCGGCGCTATCGTCGCCGGGGGTGATGGTGCACCCGAAGTCCGAGAGGGCCCCCGCGACCCTTCGAGGGTGTAGAGTCGACATGAGCGACGGGGTGGATGAGACGCGTGTAGCAGCCAGAGGGAGGTGGTGTGGGTTGGAAAACGAGGGAGGGGGAGGGGGGCACGCAGAAGATAATCGCGCAGAAAGGCTCACGGGCGACCAGGAAAACAAGGCCGCGCGACACACGAAAGAGTAGTACACAACAATACACAGTGCCAATACAGCAGTGCTGGCCCGGGCCCGCTCATAGGGGAAGGCCAAATTTTGTACCAGGCTCGAAGCCTTGCCGTGTCTCAACGAATGGGAATACTTGGTAGTATTTAGTGCAATATCTACGCCGTTGTTCTTTCACCAATCTGAGGCTGGCTTTCTGGCGAGTAGACATTCCTTATGACAAACCTGCTAGACAAACGACTGGCATCAACTAGGAGGAGCGACCGAGATGGGTGACACAACGAGTACGCATATACCCCTCTCCCCCCCTTCACCGTACAGCATTTCGCCAGAGCCGAGCACCCGTCGAGGAATCGGGACGAATATATACGACACGCGAAACGATTGCACCGATAGGGGCTCACGGCACCAAGGTAGACGTAGCGCCAGGCACGACCGACACCCACAAACTCCAAGTTCCCAACAATCTGTGGGGACTATCTAGAAAACCGGGACACATTTTCAGAGTCAGTCCGGAAATGTGTTGTACTCTGCTGTAGTGTAGATACCTGCGGAAGGCGGGCTTGTAGACCTCAGAAAGCGCGTCCAGCGTCTCTACGGCGGGGCACCCCTCGATCGCCAGCTGCCGCACGCACGAGAGGTACGCCTTGGCCGCCGGGTATTGCGGCGACTCCGAGTGCTGCGCATCGAAGTCGGCCTCTATCTTCAGAGCGTCACGCATCGCTGGCTCGCTGTCCTCTGTTGTTGTTGTTGTTGTTGTTGTTGTTGTAGCGCAACGGACAGTGGGTGAGTAACATCTTCGGGGGATCCGGGGGGGAGAATGAGGGTTTAGCGAAAGACATTGGCGGATTCAAAAAGAAAAGAAGCAGCGGAAAGAAGCGTGCCACACGAGACCGCATGCCAAAAAGCATGGGCGTTCAACCGACTAACAGAGGTAATAAACACAAGCCGCAGGGTGCACTTGAATCAACACCATACCGCCGTGCAACGGTATCAAACAGGTTGCACGAGCACGATGCTGGCGTGCAACGGTTTCAAGCTTCAAGAAGCAGGCAGGCTCCTGAATTTGGGACTTTCGTTTTCGGGCCGACAGACCTGGGCTGTTGAGGATGAGCAGATTCTTGACGATCTTGTTGGTGGCGGTGTTGAGGTCCTTCAGCAGAGACGGTCCCGACAGCACGCTGTCGCTCGGCCCGAGGCAGAAGTTGAGCTCCCCCATGAAGGAGTCGATCTCCGCGCTGCCCAAAAGAAAAAAAAAAAAACGAGACGGCCGAAACGGTCCGAAAAGGGCGGGTGTCGCAGTGAGGAACGTTTAACATTTGGCACGGGGTCGGCACGCCCTCTTGTGGATACAAAAGAAACGCAAGTAGTGGTGCTCATGGTTGTTGAGCCGACGGTACTGCTATTGTTCGGTATTGGAGTTACCGTGGGACGTGCGGAGTAACGCACGGGATTTTCGTGTACACACGGGCAAGAACCCACCAGACGGTGAAACAATAGAAGAACGGAGCTCCGTGACCGGGCCTCTCTATCCCCAGGTCGGTATTGCTCCTTTCAAGGAGAACGAAATGTCCAAGTCGTGAGATACAAAGTCGACGCCCGTCTGCAAGCAGGTCTTGGTGAAGACTTGTGTTTTATTCGGCCACGGGCCCGAAAGCTGTCTGGTTTACGCTTACTTGTGCGTCTTTTCTTTTCCCGGCGATTCAATAAACAATAAACATCCCTGGTTCGTCGCTGAAGTCGGTGCCGTTCGCACTTGACGCGTTACCGAAAACCGAAAACCGCGAATGGGCAAAACGCAACATGTCGTGCGCGAATCAGACGTGCTTAGAGGTTACAGCCACCGCCGCTATGAATTTATTCCAAACTTGCGATGTACGCAGCATACATGCTCGCGACGGTTCTTCACATTTGAAGCACAGATGCCGTGGAATTTCATGGCAACCTAGTTTCGGGTCAACACGGGGATATGGGGAAAACATCGGCGGGGAAACCTGCATATTTTTGAGCAAATTATCCTCACGGAGAAGGCCGTCATCGTGGCTCAATGTGGCGATACGAATGTCGCTGTCAAAAAGCTCCTTTTCCGTCGACTGGTGGACACATAGTATTGCTTGGATACTACCAATACATACATGTAGCACACTGCTTCGGTGTCGGTATCGCGGTAGGTACAGTACAAAGTGGTTAAGAAATAGGTAACCAGGCAAACAGCTTGATGTAGCTGCGGCTTTGCTCTTCCTCAAACCGTGAAAGTGGACCCTATCTGTGGAGTGCTTGCCGGAGACATAATGTATACCAACCAATCGTGTGTTTTCGGCATACTGACTGTATAGATACCCTACCTCGAATCTCGCATCTACCGCAGAGTAGGACACTGCTGGGTAGACTCGACCGCGTATATCACGTGGAACACACAACAATCCTAGCCGTAATGGATACAGACGTCAACGCCTGCAGCAGTATCGCTTACTGCTGCTGTTGTTGCACCGCGGTAGTTTCAACATACCTATGGACTATTGACGTGTCAAACAATCCACAGCGTAGACTGATGCTCCCGCCCCCCGCCGCCCCGGGTTGATCATGACTTACGCCGGATATGTTGCGCGACACATGTTTTCACGGAGTTGGTTCGTATGCTTACCTCTCCCTGTTGTCGAATTGGGTCAGCGACGAGGAAGCTGCGCCGGGCACTTGCGTCTCCATGTCGGTGGCGTCCGCCTGCATTCGCACCCCCTCGTTGCAAGACCGCTCCCCTCGTTGTCTTGGTCGCCTACCGCTGCTGCTAGGGCTTGGCTCTCCACAGCAGGTCGGTTGCTGCAGTCGTCGCGACTGGTCATGTGTCCAACTCGACCATCCAAACGTTGCTTTCGGGTGAACAAACGCAGCTACCTTGAAGCTGTTGAGCGGGTAGAGCATAAAGGCCAGAAGCAGCCCTTCCGACAGAGAACCACCCATGATCGTCCGGGTGTGTTCCTAGCAAGGCTGTCTGCTCACACAGAGCGGCAGCTTAGTCAGCAGCACTCACGGCAGGGATCAGCGTCGCGTGCCTTCTTTTCGTCGACGATGAAGTTGCTCCTGCAACATCTGCCGTCTTCCACGGCCCAATCACTGCTCCCCAGAGGAAGGACGTGTGTACACAGCCAGTATCGTCCCGAAACAACCACTATGACCGTTGTCCTACACTTGCTCCTGCTCTCCTTGCTCGTTGCTCGTGCTGGCTCGACCTCTCGCTGCCTCTTTTCCCGACAGTGCCCCCGCCCCGTCTCCCCGTCTCCCCGTCTGCCGTCTACTCCACATTTCCATTCACGGAGCCTCCCGAATTGAAAAAAATGGGAAAATGCCTTGTCAACTGGTGACCGAAGGTTTATTGCTTGACTCATCTCCCCGGGAACCGCACACTTCCGCAGCGCCATCAACGCCTTTCCGCTCTAGCGTCAGTAGGGCGCAGCTGGGGACGTGTTGCAGCCGCCGTCCTTGTCCGATCTCATCGACCCGTAGCGACCACCGTGCTCGCCGTCTGTGACGCACAAGAGTCTGAAACGCCCGTCCTATTCGCTGACGCACCGAGGCACGGAACCGGAAGGGTAACAGGCGCGCACTTCGTCCCGTACCCGTTAGATGAGACGAGAGCAGAAGATGAGGGCCGCGGCGACCTTGCTGTGCACCCTCTCCGTAGCGAGCGCCTGGTTCGTTGCGCCCCCGACCTCGGCGGCGTCGTCGCATCGTCACTTCGATTCCACAACTTCTCGAGCGTCATCGCCGCCATTTTCTTCCACCGCGCAAAGAAGGCGGCGCAACGCCGCCGGCGGGGATGCCGCTGATGCAAGCACCACGAGCGGCAATATTCGAGGGCGGAGGCGCGCAGCAGCGGCGAGAACAAGCCATCGCATGGTAGCGTCTTCTAGGAACTGGGAGTGGGGCAGGGCGAAGAGCAGCGGGGACGCCCCGACTCCCGCGGCGCAGGCGTTCGGCAGCGACCAGGAGCTCAAGCTCGGTGTGCTCCTTTTGAACCTCGGAGGGCCGGAGCGCCCGGAAGATGTGCAGCCCTTTCTGTTCAACCTCTTCGCGGATCCGGACATCATCCGACTCCCGAAGCTGGTGCAGTGGCTGCAGAACCCCATCGCTGCGGTGCTCGCTGCCCGCAGGTGTGTAATAGGCTGTTTACGTTTCGATGGTAAATTGCACAGCAGTCCGTTTTGCACACCCGCTTGCTGGGCGAATAATCTTCACGAGCATTTTCTGTCATCATCGCCTCTCACACCCGCACCAACGCACTACTTTTCTGCTATGCTGATGTCATTGTTGTCCATCCGGATTGGCTCGTCCTCCAGTTCTGAGGCAGCCTCTATTCTGATCGTTTGCTAGTGTCCAAGTGTGTAAAGATGACTTCTGCTGTCTTCAGATGCATAGCCCCCACGACACAGCCTGGACTTGCCGCCTGCGGGTTATACCGTACCATTCACCCACCCTGCGGTCTTTTGCAGTCAGTCACTGCTGCGCTACTGCTGCGGTACGCGGCAAGCAACCGCGTACACGTGCATACGCATCCGGTTTGCACGACACCTTTACGTTTCCGGGAATTCAAGAACACAGCACAATGCTGCTGCCTGCGCGCGATGCTACAGGCAGACAGCCACTTCGTATGGACCGCTTGCGCTGCAGCAAGCTGTGCCTCTTGAATTTGCCCTCCCTCTGTTTTGGCACGCGCTCGTCGGGATACTGCTGTACCAGAGTATATCATGTGCATGGATGCCGAGTTCCCCCCATCATGCGTCGTTGATATTCATGGCATACACAGCTCGAATCCCCCTCATGCCGTCCCATCGTCTCCTTTCGCACCTGGTATTAACCAGTGCCTGCCTGATCGGAGTGTCGGGTACGTTTTACGTTTTCGGCACAACAGCAGTATTTCGCCGCGTCCCAGTGTATCGCCGGTACTACACTTGTCTCCTGGGCTTCAAGCGTTTTGACATACCGCAGTTTTTTTTCTTTCGGAAACTGCAGAAAGCGATAGGCGACAATCGGCCTAGTTGTATAGCGATGTGCATACATGCATCAAGACATTACCTAGCAAGTACTCTTGGTTGTACTTTACATCTTTAGTTTCAATGGTGCTCTCACCCTCCAGCCAGCAGTGACCGGCGGTACAGCAATATGCATAGTACTGAAAACACATATGGTTGCACCGGCGGTCCGTAGCGGTGTCAACTGACTGTGTGCAGCAAACGCAGCAAAACCACAGCGCTATCTTGAATGGTTGGTGGCCCGCGGAAGCAGTGTCACGTCCAGGAACAACGTTGGAGACTTGGGGTGTGTTTTGTGGATCCCCCCACCCTTCCCCCCGTTCACGTGCCCATAGGCTTATATTTAATATTCCTACTCTCTTGGTTACTTGGATTGCAACACGTATGTGCTTTTTTTCACCCTCATCGGCACTGTTGTCTGTATACCTTTCGTCCCGCCTACCGCTTACACCCCACCTTGGCGTCTTTCCCTCCTTGCCCATCCCCCGTCCCCCCCCCCTCCCCAGGGCACCGCAGAGCAAGAGCGCGTACGAGAGCATCGGCGGCGGCTCGCCGATCGTGTCGTGGACCAACGCGCAGGCCAAGGGCATCGCCTCCCAGCTCGAGGCGAAAGGGCTGAGCGGCACCAAGTGCTACGTGGGGATGCGGTATTGGCACCCCTTCACAGAGGCGGCCCTGGAGGCCGTCGAGGACGACGAGATTAATGCCTTGGTGAGTGAGTGACTGAGAGGAAGGAGCGTTTACGTCAACATTTGGCTTCACTGTCCCAGCCCCACCTTTCATTTCACACGCCCTTGATGTCAACCACGAGGTGTCTAGCTGACGCCATTGATGCGGGAATGCATGTGACCCGCCAATGCCGCGGGTGCTAGTGCAGAGGCGATGATCGAGGATATGGGCGGGCGTCGTTGTGATTCAAAGAGCTCGTCGCTTGCGGCAATGTTGTAAGTATGTCGCAACAGGGTATGTCTTTCCCCAAGCACCTGAAGGAGGCACCCACCCCTCTCTGCAACCCTCCTCGATTTGTTTCGGCGGGCGCTTAACACAACTGACTACACTCACACACGATGTGCTCGGAACCCGAAATCGCGACCCCGCAGGTGATCCTCCCGCTGTACCCGCAGTTCTCCATCTCCACGAGCGGATCGAGCCTCCGCATCCTCAACGAGGAGTTCACCCGGCGCCCGGAGCAGTGGGGCCACAAGAACGTGGTCCACACCGTGGTGCCCTCGTACCACGACCGCCCGGGCTACGTGAACGCGATGGCGAGCCTCATCGCCCGAGAGGTGGCGGAGTACACGCCCGAGCAGCGGATGCAGGGCGTGCAGGTAAGAAGCGTTATCGTAGATGGTGCGTGCGGGTTTTTTCTTTTGGCGGCGGCTAGGTTAAGAGAATATGCACCCCGAGAGGAGGGCTAGGTAAGATGGCTGGTTGTCACCAGTGGCCGACACCGCCAGCGGACAAAGAGAAAGAACTGCAGCCAGGGTAGAGTTATGGGTGGGTTCTTTGCTCTTCCGGGAGTGGTCTTGGTGAGCTGATGCTCTAGGCCCCTGATAATGATGATCAATTACACCCAGCCCTCCTCGTGCGTTAGCTTTCTGTCAGTTCAAAGTTGGATGTTACAACCCCCGCTTTTCCGGAACGGCATCCCATCGACACGGTTATCCCCTTGTTTCTTGCGTGATATTTGATGCTGATCGCACGTGTCGTTTCTCACGCTCGGCTGACTCCCCCCCCCCCCCCCCCCCCCCCCCCCCCCCCGCCCCTTTTTTCCCCCCCCCGGGCCCCCCCCCCCTCTCCCCGGGGGGCCCCTGCCCGGGGGGGGTTCGGTCCCGCGGGTTGGCTTTCTCGGGGGGGGGGGGGGGGGTTCCCCCGGGGGGGGGGCCCCGGGCCCCCCCCCGGGGCCCCCGGGGCGGCCCGGGGGGGGGGGCCCTCCCCCCTTTCCCCCCCGCCCCGGGGGGGCCCCCGGGGGGGGTTCCCCCCCCCCCCGGGCCCCCGGTTCCTTTGTGGGGGGGGGCCGGGGGTGC